ATAAAATTTTGCATTCATTTAAGAGTTAATCTATTGCACCTTATGCATCATTATCATAAAGAGAAAATTTATTACTAACCCCATCAATACTAGATTTGAACTTTCTTCACTATCCGAGTCGGAGGAAGAACTTATCGCATTATCTTCCCATGCAACATAGGCCTTTTTATACTTAGTCTCCTTTTTGCCTTTGAATCCACCTTTCTTGGAGAGTTTCGGACAATCCAGCTTTATATGACCTTACTTGCCACATTTATAACACGTGACATCTTGTGTTGGAGTGGAAGCCTCCTTTTTCCTGAAATGTTTCTTTCTATTTGCATAAAAAGAGGATTTGTCATTTTTACCAAATTACTTACCAAGCCTTTTCACAAGAAGCATAAAGTTTTTATCTTCTTCTGGATTGTCTTCTTTTTCAACTTCTTTGGAATCTACCTTTAATGCAATGCTTTTAGATTTCTTATCTTGATTCTCATGCTTTTCAAGCCTTCCAAGTTTTGTTTTGTATTCTTGAAGTTTACCAAATAATGTTGCGGAAGTCATATTTGATAAGCTCTTATTTTCGGAGATTTTTGTCACTTTAGGTTGTCATTACCTTGTCAATGATCTAAGCACTTTAAGATTTAACTCATCGTTACTTGGCTTACCGAGTGCTTTTAGATTATTCGTCAAGTGCACAAATCTTTTTTGCAAGTCGAGAATTAATTCTCTGGATTGCATTCAAAATAGTTTGTACTCTTGACTTAAGGTATTTAATCTAGATCTTTTGACTTCGGCAGTTCCTTCGTGAGTTTCTACTAGAGTATCCCAAATTTCCTTTGTCGTTGTGAAATACCGAAATACCAAAAAAAATATCCATGCTAAGAGTACCTTGAAGATGATTTATTGCTTTCTTATCATAAAGAACCTTTTTATTATCATCTTCATCCCATGCACTTTTGGGCTTAGAGGTTCCAACTCCATTAACAATCGTAGTGGAAACGAAAGGACCATTTACAACAACTTTCCAAATATCTTTTCCTTGAGATTCTAAATGCGTCTTCATCCGTATTTTTCAGAAGTAGAAATAGTCACCACAAAATAGTGGAGACTTATTGTTGCTACCACCATCCTTAAAGATCATATGTGAGTTTGCAGAAGCCATTCTGGATCTTCTAGGAACAGGTTAATATCAATTGTAAGTAACAAGTGTCTCTAAGAGGGGGTGAAATAGACACTTTAAAATTTTATGGTTTTTAGTGATGAAGATAACTTATTTTTCTAGTTTATGGTGAAGTTACAAAAGCAATAAAATGCATAAAAATAAAGAATTCAAGGATGTATCCTGGTTCCCCCTCACAGTTCGAGAGTACTCTAGTCATTTTTTAACACGAAAGAGATTTTACTATTGTATGGACTTGTACACGACCAATAGAAACACCAAGAACAATTCTCTTGGATTTTCACTAAGTACGCTAAGAGAACAATCCTCCCTTAATGACTCTCTTGTTTCCAACAATCCTATAAAAACAAGGATACAAAACAATCTTATTTTCAACAATCCTGAAAAATAAGATATGGATACAACAAGTGTTTTTGAATATATAAGTTTGTTGGATGATTATCACTTAGAGTGATTTATCAATGAAATCGATCTTCTCTTTCAATGACAATAATTCACAACCACTAGAATGATAGATTGTTCAAGATTTTTTTTATATGATGTGAAATTATGCAGAAAAATTCTTGAATGAAAGTTAGAAACTAGAAATGTGAATTTTGAAAGTATACAAATTTAATTGGAAAAAGTGAGTTTTGAATTTGAAAAATCAAGTATTTGTAAGAGCATAACACCTCTATGAAACATTGTAAAGTTATGCAAAATTATCATGAACAATTGTCAAGTTGAAATGAAATGGCTCTATGAAGTGGTGAATGAAGAGGTGTAGAATAGGCTACTGGTTTTTCAAAAACTTACAGTGGGAAATCGATTTCCCTCTTATGTAAATCGATTTCATACTGTTAACGATAACAAAATTTCAAAAACAAACAGTGGTGAATCGATTTCCCTAAGAGGTAAATCGATTTACTTAGTGCAAAACGTTATTTTTCACTTCTGAAAATGTTTTACTTTAGTGGTAAATCGATTTCCCTAAGAGGTAAATTGATTTACTCAGTAGAAAACTTGAAAAATCATTTTAAAACATTTTCCATGAACATAACTAGTTTATGTAATGATTGATTTGAATACTTGAGCATCTAAGACTTTAGTGAAAGTAAATATTATCATTATACCTTCTTGAGATGCAAAAAAAGCTTGAAGCGAGAGTCTTGAATAATGATGCTTTGAATTTGAATGACATATTTGACATCTTGTTACTTGGAGCTTTGTCTTCATCAAAATACATTTATCATAGAGAAGCTTGACTTCACATCTTTTTCATCACTTTCAGTCAAAACTCGCAGAACCACTAACAAGATGCCAAAATTCTCCTTTTAAAGCAGTCAGAACGCGTCAGAAAAAGCCCATAAAAAGGGTTCATTGTGCGTGTCATGGGATCTATCACGTGCACGATGCTGCATGTACAGGCATATCATGCATGCAATGACGCGTGATGCAGCGCGTGATTATTCCAGTAACTTTGTTCTTTTATTCCTTTTTCCATCCAATTTTCTCCAAGTCCTTATTTCTTCATACTTAGTGATTTTTGTATCTTTATTTGAAATGTATGCTTCATTGCTCATCTTTGACTTGTTTTGCTTTGATTTCTTGACGAAATACGTATAATGATAGAGTTTCATCACTACTGTAGGGAGTTCTCTTATGTCAAAAATTATTGAATATGTAATTGCAATTATTGAAATAATGGCGCTAGTTGGCACTAAATTCCTATGATTACTTTCTTCTTGAATCACAATAGAGTAAATGTGATTGATGGATGGAAAAGGATCCATAAGTAAAACTTGAGTTTTGACAACAGACAAATTATCATTCAAACTTCTTAAGAATTGAATGGTGTGATCTTCAAGTCTGTATTCTTGACCAATTTTAAGAACAACACATCTACATCTTTGAATGCAAGTACACATTCGTAAATGGGTGTGAGAATTGAGTTCTTCTCAGAGTCTTTTCAATTCAAGAAAGTACTCTATAATTGTTTTTGAATTTTGTTTCAGGTTCTTACTTGATGAACATAGAGTTGAAATTCTGACACGATTAGCTTTTGAAAATCGTTCATGTAAATCATTCCAAACATTTAATGCATTTTCATGAAAGAAATAGTTAAAGCAATTTAATCAAAAACTAAATTGATTATCCACCAATGTATGAGATGATTGCAGCGTTTCCATTTAGCATAATTAAGATCATCAAGTGCAGGAATTTGAATGGTTCTATTAACAAATTTCAGCGTGTTCTTGGTGTTGTTGTTGTGGTGGTGCTATGTGTAGAGGCATCTTGGATTGATAATGAAGATGGAACAGAAGTTACAAATAGTGGAAAGAACACAACAGAATCACTAAGCAATGTTGCAAACACGATTTGCAAAAGAAAAACGTTGGCTGCAAATAGACTTTGCATATCAACAAAGATGAAACGATTGAACAATGAAGAATGAGAATGTGATAGAGTTCATTGATTTTTATGACACTATATTAAGAAATCAAAATAAACATGATGAAAGGGGGAATTCTCATTAATTTTGAACAATTACAATATTCAATTATATACACATTCAGTTGCTTCCACCCCAAGCTATTACTGAAGTGGCAAGTAATTACTTCGTTATTGTATTGTAATTGCCAAAACATCTCTATTGACTTTATTGCTTTGATATTCAACATGCTCTAAAGCTTTGCTATTCTTTTATCTTTTATATGGTTCAATAGTTAACTTTCAGACTCCCCCATACACACCATAACATTTTGTAAGTGAGTCACCCTCATTTTGTCAAAGGATTGATAGAAGGGTGATTCCGGAAGTTAACTTTCGGACTAACCCCTGCACATATTTTGAACTCATGATTGTGTGTTTATTTCACAATCCAATGGAGAATCCAAATATTAAATTCCGAACAAACCCTCGAGACAATAAGTTTCTCTCTTGGGCCTCTTGGAAAAAGATTAAGAACGACAACAACAGGTTGAACTTTTAAGGTTTCTGGATAGCAGTAAAGGACACATGCATCCATGAAGAGGATGTCAAAGACACATAAATTCAGAAAGACAATGCTTCTACATCAAATGAAGTGGCACCAACAATGCATGTTAGGCCACTCTACCATATTTCAATGTTTTTTGGTTGTCATACACTTTATCTTTAATTAAACCAGTAAAATTATATCATAATCAAAAAAGCTAAACTCGGGAATCAGAACAAGCAAAATTAAACAAACTATGCATATCAAGAAAATCCATAAGTTAAGTTTTGTACCTAACAAAACCAGAAGACGAATAATTGGTTGCATTTTGCATCCGTCGAAAGTTTAAGTTCCAGAGGAACATTATTGATTTGTCACTATAGTGCGTGAGCACCATAAAAGGTTCGAAGAGTAATGTCCAACAATAAGTTATATGGCGGAGAAGGGGCTTCTACAATTTTGGCCACGGCCAAGAAACAATTTTACAGAAAGAAAAAGGTTTTGAAATAAATGCAGCAGGAAATTCATGTCGAACAATAAATTGAAAGAGACTACATGAGCAACAACATTTACAAACAATATATCAAAAGATGTAAAGACTACATGAGCAACAACATTTTTCCTCTAAAGATATTAATGTTGCTACATTCTCATACATCAAACTCGAAATCTGACTATATTATAAAGATAAATTCCAAATTCATTGTAAATAAGCTCTTGATCTTTTCTATAATAATAAATAACTTGGGAATACATATAAACTAGAATAGTATACAATAGCAATTGGGACTGTTACAATTGGCGGCAGTCAAGTCAATGGAAGGGGCTAAAGAAGTTGATAAATTTGTAAATTTTCAGGTTTCCAATTTGTCAATGATGGTCTCAGTGTTCATGGCTTTTGTTTTGGTCTTTGCCATATGCAGCAATTAATAAAGCCTCTGCCCTTCCTACAAGACAATTTTTAAAAAAATCAGAGCACATATAAAACGTGTAGTAATTAAACAAGAATCAATCAAGGCATATAATATCTTTTCAACTAATATTCAGAGTTAGAGGGCTCATTCAGAAGATAAGCTACAAATACAGCACATTGATGTCTGAAGCTTGGTCTGCTTCTCTCTGGCGAACCCCTCCGCAAAATCTTGTCTGTGTTCGCTGCCGCATGAACTCTCATGTGCGACCATCCTCCCGGTGCATGAAACCCATGCACTCTACCACCAGATCTAGTTTTTCTGCATTTTTCGGAGCTCGCCACCCTTTCCACCACCACTTGTGTGATAACTCCGACTTTAATTTTGTCATGTTTACTAAAATTCTGCTAATCAAATGTTAAAAGTTAACTGGGACAGCCAACTACAACATTTGGGCAGCTTCCGTCAAGCTTTGATTTCAAGGTCAAGGACGAGAATACAACTAGACCAAACAATTCAAGGATATTGCCACTGTTCACCGCACAAAATGGAAACAAGTTGACGCATTCTTATGCACGGCTCTCTGGTTTTCCAATGTGCCAAATCTCCAGCACAATACCAAACTCTCACCACTCAACGATGTTTCAGAAAAAGCCAAGAAAGTCTACTCCAACAATGTCCACTGTGTTTAGTGTCATTCTTAGTCCCAACTCTAGATCTGGAGAATGTGCACAGGCAGACTTATCTCGGTAAGCTTGATCATTAAATGGTTTATTTTCAATCCCTAATGCCTTTGACTAGTGATCGATAGCCCATGCCGAACACTCAGCAAGTTTTTCATGATAATGTCTTGACTATGATCTTATGGGGATCCATTATTCCTGATTATGAGACGGTTAGTGAACAACAGCTGTGTCTTCTCACTCATAAAATGTTCTAACATCCACTTTTCCATTTAATAGAGGACTCTTACTCATACTTTATATCATCTCAAAATTGTGGTTGAGTCTAACTCAACCTTACAAAACAAACTTGTAAGGTGGGAGTTATGTCTACTAATAAAATACATGTTCAGGTCATGAGACGAATAAGAGAGACATGTTAGTTTCTATAATATGCAATATCCCAATATTTTAAACGAATATATTTTCATGTTAAATCAAACTTATTTGATGAAATATCAAATAAAGTTTTAAAATTTTAGAAAAACTTATTTATTTGATCCTTTTTTTTTAGTTTAACAATTGAATAATAAAATCTATGTCTAGGAAGTCATTAATGATTACGTATAGTAACTATAACAAGCGTTATTTCTTAAGCAAGTGGAGTATGGGTTATTCCAACATAAAATTTTGGATGAAGTGAGAATTTTCTTGTATCCATAACTGCAAGAAACTCTGATCAAGGGTAAAATCATTGAAAATTACATGGCAGAATTTATAATGGATTAAAAGCTATTTATAAATTATAGGATTTGAGCAAGTTCCGTAAGCTTTCCCCTTTAAAATTGAAATAAGCTTTGAAGATAGTTTATGATCATCAAGCAGCAGAGTAGTTGAATAATAGACTAAACAAAGAAATATGTACCATGATCTTTTTTCCTGCTTAACAAGGAACTCAGTGATGGAAATAATGTGGATGCAAGTTTCCTGCTATCATCCTGCAGTATAATAAAAAAATCAAAAACAGCCGTAGATAACAAATGAAATGAGTATCCTTGGTGAACAAGGTGAATGACGAAATATCAACATTAGAAAATCAAACAAGGTTGCATTTAAGGATTGTTTCATAGGGGTATTTAAAAGTTTCCACTTTCCTAGTAATCTTAGATTTTTATGTTTGGTATGAAGGTTGTAATACAATATTATCAGGAAACTAGCATTAACAGGATATTTTGTAAATTATGTTTCGTAGTAAAAGAAAATTTTCACATGCAACAAGATGGTTAGTTAGCAATCCAAGATTTTCATAACCAGATGTAAAGATCATGTGCAAGAGCACAGAATGATTGGAAACAGGGGTGTGGCGTTCCGGCATGCGTCACTAGGGGGAAGACATTTTAGAATAAAAAAGATGGAAAACTTCAAATAAACATTGTCTCATACCCCAAAAACTATTTTAGGCATACCAAATACAATTTATATATTTCGAGGAATCGTAATTCCTGAGAATGAAAAAGATTCCACATGCATAGCATCCCCATAGAGATAAAGGGTGGAAATAATTCTGTCATACTAAGCAAATATTTCTTGTATGTATAATTTTTTAAGTCTTGGTCACAACAGTATCTTTTATAAACAAAACCGCAACGTGCTTGTCAAATCAGTAAATATGATGTTAATTCCTAAGTTTTTGTAAACAATATAAAAACATCGAAAGTGGAAGAAAAACTGCATATGATAATTTGAAAACACCCATACTAGTCTGTAATGTCAGGACCAAACCAACCTTTGCAGTCTTGCTTCCAGAGAGTTCAAACTTAGCTTTCCAAGTAAAAGATGGCACTGGAACAACAGTAAATCCTGCAGAAACTAAGATCCCAATCCACAGCCCGTACCCAAATCCTCCACTCCACCAGCCCTTGAACACAAAAGATGGGGAAAATATTAGTTTGAGCTAAAATCACACATTGATACATATTTTTCTAAATGTTAATAGGAGTAAATTAAAATATAATTTAAAAAAGGAACTGAATATATAACGTAGCACATTACATGCATTGCTTTAAAGAAAAATCACATAATGTTGGACATTGAACATTCGCAGCAAAAATATGTTTAGACCCTCTAAACATAGCTTGTTTTAATTTCAGTTGGTCTCTTAAAAATTTTCTCCTTTTGATCCTTCAATTTTTTAGTGTCTGGACTGACTGCTAGTCCCTGTGGTTAGTTGCCGTCTCTCAGATGATGATGTGGATAACAGAAGGCCATATAAGCACGTCCGCATGTTAAAAAAATCTGGGTGGCACGTTACCTCCTTATCCCTTTCATCTTCTCCGCTTCCCTTCCCTAACCTAACAGTCTGTGATGTATGAGTGTCATATGGTATCGGTCACCGACTCAAAATGTGTGGAAACAAAGAAAAGTTTTTAGGGACACTTGTCTGCCTTTTCCGACACTTGTTTGACTTTTCCGACACGTGTCGGACACCGCAACACGCCTATTTCTATATCTATAGGTGTCCGTGGTTCATGGATTAGTATTATTAATAGATAATTTAAAAAAGTAATGAGTTATTAATATTAATAAGCAGTAATAAATGAAGTATTTAAAAAAGTAATTTGAGTGAGAGCAGACTAACCTGCTTTCCGTCTTTTGGAAAAGGGATTGACTGCTCTATATATGCAGTGGTTCCTAATCAAATAAATATACAAACCACAAACAGTGTCAAGCTTCAATATGAAAAAGCCAGAATGATTTAAAAATTACTAGTGTAAAAAAACATATACCAGGTGGAGCATCAAAACTACGGACCAACTGAACAATAGAATTGGCATTTAAACGTCTTCTTGTTCTTTTACCAACAAGTAATTGCACATGAGGAGAATCAAATACCTGCATATGTTGGCCTGGTATACTCACATCTTTTGCCAATGTATGAACAAAATCTACAGTAGCTGTTTTAAACATAAGTTGTTGAGTCTAACTCATCCCTATAAAACTGGCTTGTAAGCTGAGGGATGATAGTGCACATTTCTTAAGATGGTATCAAGAACCTCTTTAAGATTTGGTGGGTCACCTAGTATCTAACCATTTGACCCGAAAACAAAAAGGAAAGAAATTTATCCTAAAGAAGTGTGGTACCTGAGCAGAAGAGACAGAATCATGGATTTTCAACAACGCAACAGCGCCAGAAACATCTGGGTCGATTCCAAGGAACCATCCGGAGCTCTGAATTTTGTCTTGATTCAAAAGATGGGTATTTCCTGGAGTAGAGAAAGAGATTGAAGCCAGCCAATTCTCCTTGAGTTGATCATTGGAAGAAGCCACAGACCTACGCTTTCTGACAGGAACTATGATTTCAGGGTTGTTCAGATTCTGGGTTTGGGAAAGAGAAGAGGCACAGAAGGACCTGATATCAATAGTGGGTTTGAGTTTGGAACAAAATTTGTTCATGAAATGCAATTGGGTTTGCTGAAATTCTGGCGTTAATTGCATTTTCAGGGACTCCATGGTTATTATTTTATTATATGTTGATGAAAAAGGGGAAGACGGGGTTTAGTGAAAGATAAAGGAGGGAAGAAAATTCATGAAAACCAAATCAAATTCAATTTATTTCGTCTCTTCAATTCTTTGCTTTTCTTAATTTTTTACTATACTTAAATTTATGCATAAAACATTTTTACTATACTTAAATTCTTTGGTTTAGGTTTTGCCAAGAAATAATATTATGTGCAATCACTTTAATGGTTAATTTATGGCTAAGAGGAAGATGACCAACGAGTTTGACAGAGTTTGTAACTTTCACATCTCTAATGCTATTATTAAAATTTGATGATAGGATACGCCTTATTGTTATAGATTCTATTTGGAGATGACTGGTATCTTAGTTTTTTTATCAAAGGAGTTGGCAATGATATGGTACAATATCTCAATGACTTACAATTAAGGTCAGGGTATCGGATGGTGCATAAATCATTTTTGCACAGTACAAACAAGATGTTGAGCAAGCAACATGGAGATTGTTATTTGGATATGCTCATGGTATATTTCTTGAATATTTTCAAAAAGGTACATCGTTTGGCCTTATTGTGCTAGGTGAGAGTGAGATGCACATTTATTTCTTTATGGTTTGAGTTTCTTTATGGCCATGTAATGAGGTTATACCTCGAGGGTGTTGTACTCTAATTTTTTACCTAAGATCCCACCTCATATGCATCATTGCATCTTTAATAAAATACAAAGATAGCTTGTGTGTTTGCTTCTTGTGTCAAACAGAGTTTTGAATCAAGGACTCTTCATCAGTGCAAATCATGGCCAATTATGGTTTGAAGTTTAGTCTTTGGGGTTTTGATTGAAGATACTTGATCATTGGCTTAATGGCTTGAAGCATTGACTCATAGAACTCAAATGCAACATCTTGACTTAATTATGTGACTCAAAATATTTCCAAAGATACAATTAATAGATAGTGGAAGAATTGGAATCAACTGATGAAAAGTCAATTGTCACACAAAAGTCAAACTTTGACTTTTTTGGCCAACAATGAACTTCAAAGATCAAGAATCATCAAAACATTCAAAATTACCAAAATTGTCCATCAAGGATCAAGAGAATCAAGAAAAGTCAACAAAATTCAGAGTGGAGAGAATTTCAACACTTAAAAATTTTCAAGTGTTTTATGCCTGAAAAAAGTCTCAACTTCATAGACAATTTTCACCAAGATCCAAGATGATTCAAGGAAAACCTTCAACATCCACATTGTAGAGCACAATTCATAAAACAACTTTGTTAATGAGGGTTGATCTCCAAAAAATGCTCAAATCAAGAGATATAAGCCCGTGAAGTTATGCCAACACTTAGAGATTTTTTTCAAGCAATTTTGATCAGTTTTATATCTCAATTTCATGGCCAATTTTTATCAAGATCCCAATTGATTCAAAGAAATTGTTCAACATGAAAGTTGTAGATAATGTTTCAAGATTTCTAAAATGTCCATGAACACAAATTTATCATGCTTGAGCAAGGAGAATTGAAGAGATAAAATTGCTATGCTAAATTTGTTTTACAAGTCATATTCATGTTCAAAGTTATGCACAAACCTATGCAATCCAAGAGGATCTGCACAATCCCTAATTATAGGGTTATTAAGGCTTTATCCAAGTTGTCCAAACCTTTGTACTTAATCTTTTCCATTTTTCGCATAAAGTGAACACTTTCATTTTCATAAAGCCACTTTAATCACAAAGTTAGTATATTTAAGCCCATACATTGTCATCTCTAATCACACTTTATCAGTAAACTCATAATCAACCTCCCAAGTACAAGAAGCATGGCTCAAAGTCTCTTGATTCACTCATTTCTTCATCATGAAGCAAACTTGGTATTTTGTGCAAAATGAAACCAATTGATCAAACTACCATTCAAACTGAACCAAGATGAATTTTTGCAAGTTACTTGAACTATTTAGAACCTCTATAAATAGAGGAGTCGTCCTTAAAGCTAAACACACCAAATTTGCACACAAAAAACTCTATTGTTGCATTCTTCACACCTTATTTTTTAAACTTCTACCTCTTGCAATATTTTTGCAATCTAACCATTCATACATCTTACATACATCATATATAAGTGATTTAAACCATCATTGCACGATTGTAACATCTCCATCATCATCCTAGATACCTCACTTTTTTCATTTGCAACTTGATTTGGTTAGAGAGATTCAGAAGTTTTCAAAGCAAAGTAGTTATTTCATTAGTTTCACTAAGGTCCTAGGAAGCTTTTTGGATCGTTTCATTGCTTCTGTAGCTATCAAAACAAGCATTGGACTTTCTCTAATAGGCAAGGAAAACTCAAACTTTGTACTCACTATTCATGCATTTTTAAGGCATACTTTCTAAAACAAATATGTAGTCCATGATGTGTTAATGCTTTGCCCTAAATTTATTGGACTGAATCATGCCTGTATAGGGATTTTCGTTTGATTGAAGTTTGTTAGGTTTTTATGGTTTCCCAAGAAATTAATGAGTTATAATTAATATTAATTTAAGTTAATTACATTTTTGAATTCCCTACAAAATTCTGAGCAACTTTTATTTTTACATCATTGAAATTGGTTGAGAATTGGAGAAGTTACAAATTTTGGTCATATTTGTTATAGTTATTGTAACAAATCATGAAAACAAGGAAGAAGATGATGATGTGGCACCATATTCCATTTTCAAATATGTATTTATTACTTATTTAATGGTTTATGTTATAAACATTAGATGTATCACCATCCCAGTGATTATTGCGTGTATTTTCAAGTCTCTTTGTTTCCAAGGGCGTGGGTTTAAATCCCCCATTTTGCATATTTTCCAATTTTTTGTTTTTCTAAGCATTTATCAATTGATTTTCACATATTTTGTTGTGTTTACGTTTATTTTTACCACTGAGTGCATGACTCAGTGGATGGTCTTTTAACCAATCACCTTAAGGGCACATGTTCAAGCCTTGGCAGCCCCTTTGGTTAATTTTTATCACTTGTTTTTTTAATTATTTTCTTTTAATTAATTAAATATACAAATCAACTTATTTTAAGATAATTTTTATACACTCCTCATTTATTTACCCTATTTTATGAATATATAAAAATCTCAAAAAATATTATTTATTTCACATTTTTTCATTTAATTCAAAACTAGTCCTTTTAAAATGTTTTAAAAACTTTCTCTTTGTTTTCTGTGTTGATTGCTTGACAAATTCCACTTTAAATGACCATAACATGTCTTGTGATGAATTTTGTTTGATTCCACCTCCCTTGTGTATATTTACACCATGACGAACTTGATTTTTCTTAGTTTAGCACTTGATTTTAACACACGATGCCATGTTTTGTTTGAAAACCCTAATCACGATCCATGACCCATCTTTTGACTTCAATACATGTAATTGTTTGAATACTTGGTTCTTACTTGATCAATGAACACTTGAAAAAATCTTGCTTAAAAGTTTGACTCTGTCTTGATCATATATCATGCATACTCATAATTGTTGATAACATGACTTAAACTTCACATGTTTTCCATGCTTTGATCTCCATGATTGTTTGTCCATGTTTCATAAGTTTACTTGTCTTTAAGGATGTATTTCCTTCATAATCTCCCTTTAATCCAAAGTGATACCATGCTTGCTTATTTGCATTAACTCTTGCTTGTTTCTTCTATCTTTTCTCACAACTATTACTTGATAAGTATGTTGACTTTCTCCTTTGTGTTTAACACCAATGATGTGTGTATTTCCCCTTTGTGGTAGTAATTAATATTAAATACTTGTGCCCTAAATCCATGGAAAAGGATAGTATTATTGACTTTATAGTTATGTGCATATGCATTGTCTTAGGTTTTACCCTTGTGAGTTTATCTTTGTGTTTTACCCTTGTAATTTTTAATATTTACCCCTTTGTACAAAATCCTTGTAGACCCTATGTGTGATATAGTGGGAGAACTGACTTGAAGATTTTGCATTTTATCGCAAATGTTGCAGTTTAGCAAGAGTCGCCACCGACTTTTTTTTATCCAAAAGGAAAGGTGAAAAAGCATAGGAAAGACCTTTGAGATTGTTTCTTGAGTTCGGGGGGTAGATTATGAAAAGGGAAGATATTAGCACCCTTTTCATGCATGGTTATCCATGGGCTCTTAGTTACTTGCTAGATCACTTGCTTTTGTTTGAAATTGTGCTTCGTGTGATTTTTGAAAGTATTTTGTAAAGAGGCCATTGTTTAGGCAATCTTTGTAATGATCCTCGTTCGTAAGAGTGTATACAAAGATGTTTGATCTTTTGAAAATGTTTCCAATGTTTGTAAGATGTTTGAAAGTGTGTGTGTTTGTTTTTGAAAATAGCAAGGATGTTTGTTTTGAAATGGAGCAAGTAATTAGGAGCAATCTATCTACTCAAATGTCTTTCTTGTTCATTTTCTTTTCCTTTGACATTGTTGTCTTACCATTGATTTGGTAAGCAACCCTATCTTTGGATGTATACGGGACGGGCATGGGTCATCGTATAGCCATGATTAGCAATGTTGCAAAGTATCTTAGCATTCTTTTTAGGGGACTAAGATCATTTGTAAGGCAACTTAGATAGCGTCATCGAGGGACTATGATCTTGTTTTCGTTTGTTTTTGCTAAGATACCTCACATGCGTAATATGGCCATTTTGTAAGGCAACCAAGTGGATTTTACCCTAGGGGTGCTTGTGTGCAAGTGTGTTGTTTTCATGCTTGATTTTGTCTTGAATTTGGATTTTCTACTTGATTGATTTTATTCTTTCCATACAAACCCTAATTACTAGCATGTTATGTAAAAGCGATAAATTGCGAAATTTAAAGTTACTACGCTATTACAACATTTGTGGGAGGGGGTATACAATTTATGAATGGGGATTGCAATAATATAAACCTAATTAACCTATTACAACCAAATTTAATATGTATATATAATTGAAGAAATATATAAAATACAAATGCAAAT